CCCCTTCCTGGCAGGGTGCCTGGCTCAACGGAACATGGGGCGGGGTGCCTGGCTCGTGGTCAACTTGGCAAGTAGGAGAGAAGGCAACCTGTGCAGGTTGGAGCGCATGGGTTGAAACCTGAGGGAAACAGACGAGAAGGTGTTGGCAAAGCTTCGATGTGCCACTTTGGCACTACAGTGGATGGACGAAATCCTGCACCACGTGGAATGATGACTCAACTGTAAATACCAACAAGCAATGGTTATGGTTACAAAGTGGTCCAGGATTTTGTCCATCCACACTATGAGCACCATTGCATAGTCGATATGTTAACCACCACTGTGATTGTGTTGCGGGTGGGTTGCGGCTCGTGCGAGTTGCCAGGAAAAGCTCGGCCAACTCCCTGCTGAGCCTTTGATGTGAATGGCATTCTCCGGGGTCCAGCGCAACTACAGCAGATTTAAACCTGAGCTGATAGCAGAACTCGGCCAAGCCGTCTGCGTCGGAGACAGAGAGCTCTGGCTTTGGAGTGCCGATTTTCCTGAGTGACTACAGGCATTTCGACGACCGTCGTTGAATTCGCCAGGGCGGCGGCATACACACAGACACTCATTGTTGGCTTCTTTCTCCTGTTACTTCAGGAGTACTGTTGAGTTCCAGAGCTTTGTTTGTGATGGTGTCGCTGGCTGATAGCCCATGTCCCAGCCACAAGAACACCGCTGGACGTGGGAGTGGACGAGGGGCCACGCTTGAGGTGATTGCCCTTTTGGATCTCGTCCTGCACGGAGCCCGGGTCGGGGGCTTGACTCGCAAGTAAGCAGCGGGAGGTTTACTCAAAACGAGCGGGGGATTCTTTTTTCGGAGTGACCTCAAAGTGGTTGGTGGTTGCTCGATTGGCATCCCCCAAAACGCTGCTCATGTTTCCAGGAGCGAGCCGCAAGGTCGCACAGAGCGCCTCAGTCCTTTGACGCGGACCCGATTCGTCTCACGGAGTACATAGCCCTTGTTGCTGTGAGCGCGGTGACAGCGTACAGTGACATAGACATGCGCACACATCAACGCACACACATACATGTATGCATGCACACATATTCACACACACACACATGCATGCAAACACACATACACACATACACATAAGCCAATACACAGATGCGCACATGCACACATACACACATACACACATACACACACACATACACAGATTCACATACACACACACACATACACACACACACACATATACACACACACCACATACCTGCACACACGCACAACATAGATAGAAACTGACACAGACACATTATACGGATGCAAGTATACACAGAGTTACACCTTCATTTGCGCATGCACTTGCACATACAAGTGCATATACATATACGTACACATTTACAATGCATTTGCACACAATCGTGCATGTCTGTATACCTATACATACACACAATGACCACACATGCATTGTGTTGCAAGATATACGTACATGCGACAAACACACCACTCAGTACAGAGTCTTAGCTTGACATGGCATTGGGAGTCAGAGATGCGTTTGCTTGATTGTTGGCAACAGTTTTCTCCACCAAGCCTTTATTCGCTCTGCGAGATGTTCCCAGTCTTGAGGGCCTTTCAGTTTGGAAAGCTGCCGAAGGGCAGATGGCGTTCTCACTTCCAGCTTTTCACAGCAACCCGCGCGTTTTATTTTAAAGACACCTGGGCAGGCAAAGCCTCGAGCCAGTGCCTTTGCACAGCGCGATCTTTGGTGCTCGCACCATGAGATCGCTTGAAGTGTTCGCTCTTGAAGGGTGTTCGATCACGAGCAACTTTGAGTAGGGGAAGCCAGAATTGGCTCGGTTTGCATCACATGTCAGCAGTTTCAAATTGACTCGCAATTTGCTGGCTGTCCAAAGTCGCCTAGAGTCAGAGGTGCAGTAAAGCAGGAAGCTGTGGTGTGGGTGCAGTTCTTTAGAATTGCGCAGAGAGGCCAACGTAAATGCCTCGACTTGTAACTCGTCCTGCAGGGATGGGGTTTATGGCCATTAGAGGTCCAGCATGTTTCGAACGCCATGGCCTTTGCTCGTGAAAAGTCGTGCCTTCAGTTTCAACTGGGCGGGACGGCTGAACCAAGCTCTGGTTGCGACCGAAGTTGGCCCAATGTGTCCTGACAGAACAGAGTCTTGCTTCCTGAGGATAGGCATCCCACTTTGGTTCACGATTAAGGGTTGGATGAGCTAAGGGTTCCCTAGGACCGGGAACATATCCGACATTTAGGACGGTCTGTCGCTCGGCAGGTTTTCTTGGCGGTCTGAGTGGCAATCTTGTACCAGAGGAGGCTGCGAGCTATACAATATTACAACTGAATGTGTTTGTTCACTTGTGGTTTATGGGCACTGTCATAGTTTCAAGAACCATGTTCACATGCAAGGCCGATATCTGATGGACCATCAGCCCCCGAGTAACCCTGTTGGTGTTGCTCCTGGAATTTTGCAGGCCGATGATGCTTTGGCAATAGGCAAGGTGCAGACTATTGCCATGCTGTCAACATAGATGAGTGACATGTACTTCTGTTGTGCGTCGTGTTGGAATCGTTCCGAACAAAACTGAAGGCTAGTCACTACATGTGCCAAACTGCCCCATGACCAATGGCTCCTGTGACACACGAAACGTCAAGATGCGTTTCTTGGGATGCGAATTGGGTGAAGAGCCAGCGACCTTTTTTTGACAAGGATTTGGTCTAAGTGGAAAGTGTAGTCGAAAGATCATTGTCCAACAGGAATCAATATCCATTCGGCTTGAGCTTTGGTTTGGATCCAGACACCTAGCCACTCTGATTTTGGGTTGCTGATCGATTTTCTTGCTACGACTGCTTGGGGTTGGTTGGTCGGTCAGTCGGTTGGTCCGCACCCATCTTTGTGTTCACCAGTGGCTGTTGATCGACCGCTCGTTCTCATTTTCTCCGGTATGTCTCATGCTTGCTCTTTCCGCCAATTTCCCTTCCTCTTGCGCGGATAGCTGTTGGCTGTAGCTAAGGGTACGACGATGCTACATTGCTACATTTGCCAATCTTATTGAGAAGATGACAAGGCATTTCAGAATGTTGGAAGGTGCCGTATCCTGGTTTGCAATATCATGAGGGGCCTCATTCACCGAAGCTGTACCTGGGCTAGTGAGCTATAGAAGCCACACGAGTGAAAAGTGGATCCAGAAAGTGGATCCAGAACGTGGATCCAGAACGTGGATCCAGATCGTGCATGCAGACCGTGCTTACTCGCATTTGGTCCAAGCGCAGGGCTGAAGACTTGATGTCATTGCAATGGCTGCCAACTCCACCGTGCAAGCTGGGCATCATGTGAGTGTCAGCCAGTCAAAAGCAACATATTCCAACGCAACACAAAGCGGTTCGCCAGTGATGCGATGACAAAAGCACGAAGTACAGGGCCAAGTGCCACAGACTGTCAGCTCTATGACCTTTGAGTGAGCATTTATCCTGGGGGTGCATCGTGTGACGCTGATTCGCGAGCTTTGGTTGCAGGCGCGGACCAGATTTGTGGGTATGGGGAGCCAAGGTTAAACACGCTTTTGAGTAGGCGTAATCTTCCCACCACTGGATTGGCTTCTTAATTGTGTCACGCTGTGTCATAGAAGGCTCAAGCAGGACAGCATGTTTTCATAGGCACAAGCTCACACAAGAGCAAGCGCACTGGCGCACGCGCGCACACGCACACGCGCACACGTGCGCACGCACATTCGCAGGCACTCTCTCTCTCTCTCTCTCTCTGTCTCTCTCTCTCTCTCTCTCTGTCTCTTGCATGGCTGCGGGCACGCAGGAACCCGTCAGGCACGCAGGCACGAGCAGTCACGAATGCAAGGCAGGCCGGCAGGCACGCACGCAAGCACGCACCCACCTAACGCACCCACCAACGCACAAGCGCCAACGCAGCACTGATGAGTGACGATCGAAGGATTTCCTGCATGTCGGGGTAGCTGAACTTGAAGTTGCTGAAGTCTTGTGCAGATTTCAGCACTAGGGGTGGGACTGAATCCCATTTGAAGGGCTTTTAATCATGGCAGATGGTGAAGCGCTTCTGGTAAGCGGCGTTTTGTTCAGCAGGTCCGCTGGCAGCTTTTGCTATTGCAGGGGCTGACAGACGTGAGCCCTGGGTTTCTGTTTTCAAACGGCACCGGGCTGGCTGCTACAGGTCTCAACACAAATCCCGAAGGGAAACAGACAAGAAATATTTGCCTTTTGGACCAGGATATCGCACACACGTGTGCAAGGCCGGTACCTTGTTTTGACGACATGCTTCTGTTGTGAGACCTAGCAGGCTTCATATAAGGCTTTGTGGAAGGGTCCTTGTCATGCTGGGCAGGAGGGCAGGTGGGGGCTTGAGGGAAAGAGGTGGTTTCAGGTCACCCTGGGAACACACGTGTTCTTCACTAGACCCTGATGCTTACTTCCTGATGCACACAGAGGCGGAATGCTGTTTGGTAGTTCTGCAACGAGCCATGGAAATAGTCTGGCAGCTGTATTTTTCACTTCGTGCGCCCTGGCACACACACAAAGCTCACGCTTTGAACATCCCCTCAAGAGGAATGGCAGACGTAGCATGAATCTGGGACGCTGATCCCTTTTTGAAAGCTGACAATGCGGCTGGTTTCTTTCTATTTGAGGACATGTGGAAGGTGTGCCCAAGGCTAGGCTTTTGCGCGTGCGGGCAAGCGCCAATCACCACAGTGTCAGTCTATCCGATTCAATGTCATGTATCAGTGGGGCGGCAACCCCAGCCAGACCAAGATACCACTGCAGAACCACCTTTAACACTCCATCATGCGGATGGACGAAATCCTGCAGCACCTATCAAACCCTGGAACAATGATTCGCCTGTAAATACCAACACTGGTTTCCACCAGGGTTTCATTTCGTGCGAAACGGATTTCGTCAGGTCAGGCGGACCCCATTTTGAGGTGAACCGGGGCTCAAGACACCGGAGGCATCGAGATCCGGGCCCCCAAGCTCACGCGGGCCATGGAACCGAGAACTCGCCAGCCGGTGGGCTTTGCATGTTTTGGCGCGGGCGTCAGGCGTTCTGGCGTCGAGAGCGTCGAGAGTCGAGCGAGCTCTCGGAAATAGAGGGATTTCCACGAGTTTGCGCCTGAAAGCCGTTCGCGGCTTGGTTTCTATTCTTCCCTTTCACGCGGCAGGCAAGGCATTGGTAGCTGGGGACGTGGTGCATGAGCTTTCAATTCTAGCTATGACCGCATACACGATAACATGCCATTGTTGTGTGAAGGCGTTGGATGAGTCTCGGCAGTTCTCAGTGTTATCCAAGGGGTTCCCGCGATGATCGAGATCCCAGTGCGAGGTGGCAATGTTTTGATGTTGCAAGCTCAGCGTTGCGACGGATGAACATGTGTTTGACTCGTGCTGCGATTTTGAGTCTGGGAGAAAAGGTCACTTTCAAGGCCAGCCCTTGAGATCAGACTTGTGCTTGGTATTCTTTTTTGGTGTTCACCCCTTTTTTTCGGGGATGTTTGGCATACATGGTACTCTTCATCCTATATGCCGCCAAAAGATGACGGACTGGAGAAGCATTGTCTTGCTTGAAAGGAAGAGCCCATTGCTTTTGCCATTCCTTTGCCGCTCTCGGCATTCGTTTTCCGCGCGAGTTGTCACGGCATATCCCACACACACACACATCCAGATATGCACGCTGCTGACATCGACGATTCAATCAGAACGGCGCATCCTTTTTTCTTCGCCTTAGGTTCGACAGCTGGCAAGAACATTTTTGCATCATCGAAAGTTTCAGCTTCCCTTTTGCTCATGTTCATTCTTTCTCTCAGAAAGCGGATGACCTGAACAGTTTTTTGCCAGGGGAGGTCATTTGACGCTGTTGACAACGTCAAGTAGCGTCAGGCAAACTGCGCACGGCCCACGGTCAATTTTTCCTTGTCCCCAAACGGCACGGGAATTCGATTTGGGCAGTCTGCCTTCTATTTGGACTTCGGTTAACAGTACTGGCTTGGCCTGTCGTACAGACAGTGACCCTTGTTCGGACGATTATTTTGGTGGAGGTGATTTGTTCCACTTCTGCCTTCCATGGCTAAGGTTTCCATTTTGTTTGACTTGTTCAGTCATCACGACAAAAGCCGCCGTGAATTTGAGCGCAATCCCGGCCAACCCACCAATCAGCCAGCTATTCCGTCCTTGGGCCACCCCACCCCACCCCACCCCACCCCACCCCACCTTGCGTCGCCGCCCGGAAAGTCACAACGGGGTTTCTCGCTGTGCCAGTCGTCCCCCTTCCGCAGTACAATGGCCCGAGCTCCCGAAAGAGCCGGGGGATCTGGGAGCCGGGGCGCAGGGTTCGTGGGAGGGACACGGCCTTTGGTCTCATTTGTGGAAGTGGTGTTCCTTGCGTAGCATGGTTATGCAGGGGCATGCAAGGTGATAAGGTGCATGAGGGAACAAAGCGAGGCCAGGTTGAATGTCATATGGTGCGTTCTATTGTGAATAGTTGATGATCTGATGGGCACGGGTACTGTCAGGATATCGGAACAATTGATGCTGGGCAGCTGGTGAAAACCAAGTTTTGGCCCTCTGAGAGGAGGCGCTCTGCCTTTGAGAGCCTTGTGAGTGATTTTATTCTCAGATCCGAGGTGCTTCAACGTATTAGCTTGCAGCCCTGTCCAAACAGAGCTCCTGTGGCCCACTGAATATTTTTTGGGAAAGGCATATACCCGGATTTCCTCCTTACAGGATATTGACTGAGCTCACTGCCTCAAATGTTGTTTCCTCATGTTCTGCTTCATTATTGGTGATTTGCGGCCTTGATTCTTGACGAAGCTTTCTCACTGGGACCTCCACGCCCGTCTTCCTTGGCAGCCATGATGGTTTGAGGGAGGAAGGGAAACACGTTCAGAACACGTAGTGAAACAATTCGACTTTCAAGCCTCTTGCTAAGGATAGTCTGCCTGCTTTTCTTCTTTCTGGACAGGAGAGGGGGGTTCTGGGGTCGTAGGGTTTCGGCATGGGTTTGGGGCGTGCCATGAGAAACACCAAGAACGGGGTTGCTTTGACTCCAATAGCCCGATAGGCAGAACTGTGCTGGCCAGGAAGCAGACACTTTCGATGGATGGATCTTTTCTTCTTGGTTGCTGATTGACTCGGCCTCCCACGGGTGTGTGACAGGCTGGCACGCTGGGAGGACCAAGACTGAGGCTGGAAGTCGATTTGGGGACTTGGCATCCGACCTGAGGGCTTGGGCCCCTGAGCCAAAGCCTGAGGCTTGCGAGCCGGGCAATGTTTGACGTGCTGAAACAAGGAGTCTCCGGAAGGTTCGGCAGAAACGCGCAGTGTTTCACACATCAGCCTCGAACGTGTCCCCCAAAAGCACAGACACTGTCTGCACAAACACACCTGTTGTTTTGCCGGATGTTGGATCCGGACAAGGTGTGAGTGGCAAGTCATGTTTTGGTTTCTTAAATGCAAGACTACGTCCAAGCTGCTGTTTGGCCCATTTGCTGCAGCCGCTTGGGCAGACTTGAGTCATGCATGGGTCCTACTTGTTTTTTTTGTTCGCATGTTTGGACAGGCTGCCACACGACTCGTGTTGGTGACTGACTGGAAGCCAACGCTGCAGTCCCGGGCAGGTTAGACCAGTAGAGTCACAATCGAAACCCGGGCAAGTGAAGGTCAGCAAGGGAGAGTCCCAACCATAAATAGCTGCGGCCGCCTTCCTAATTCTTGACATGGTTCTGGGTGGACCATCTTGATACCGGGTTTTGATTGCGACTCAGTACTCAACTACCAAGAACCATAGCTCGGGACCAGCATTTTGTTGGCATTTGGCTATGTTTTTGAAAGTACCGATGTACCCTGTTTTGGTCAAGGCAAATGGGTGCGTCCTTTTTGTTGAGGGTCGCCTTTTTTTTGGCTGTTTCAAAGGGAAACCGACAGGACAACCTTTTTTTTTTGGGTTCTTCTAACAACTGTCACTGACAGACCCAAATCAAGCTGAAGCGCTGTTGAGCCACCGAGCTTTTTGGTTCGGCTGGGCAGGTCTGCAAGTCCGGGGAGGCGAGCTCTGGCGATCGCAGCTTGGCCGAAGTTTCGGAGTGACACAGCTCTGGGTCCCACGGCGCGGAGCCGTTTCTTGGCAAGAGGTCGGTCGGTGGAAGCCCTTCCTTTGGGGTTTGAGGGAACTGGAACACCACCTCCTTGTTTCGGAGCGTTCGGCACGGTTGTTTCACTTTCAATACTCAGTGTCGAATGGAAGGAACGCGCAGGGCGGAACTGGTTGCTCAGTGTAGCTGGCAGCAGCTGGCGGCCATGCGTTTTCCAGCAACTGGTTCTGCCAGGTTTCCTGTCAGAATGAATGGAAAGCTGTGCTTTCTTCAAACGCCGGAAGCCTTCTAGTGCAAGCCCACGTCCACTTGGCCCATGGATCGATGGTTCTTTTTGTTTCGGCTCATCCGTTTCCTTGAGCCAGGGAAATTGGGTCATTTCGCTGTGGGTCAAAACCAATGGGATCCCATTTTGGGGTAGGTGCGCCACGCATTTTAGTCTATTTTGGCGGGGATTGGGATTTTCACCGGGGGTACGGGCTTTTGACCCAGATGGATTTATTTTCTTCTGTAAGCTTTCGGGGCTTGTCTTCGATTGGCAGAACCTTCCTGCGCTTTTTGGATGGGTCAGCACTCGGAGGCCTTTTGGGACAGCATGAGATTCCAGTGCGGAGGGCAGTAATTCGGCAGTTTAACATTTCCTCCAGTCATGCACACAAGTCCCCTGCAAAAACATGTTCTGCCTCTTCAGAATAATCATGCGGATATTGTGAAGGACATGCGCATCATCGCATCGCTAGAAGGAAAGATTGTCTGCACAATACAACAGTGGTCATGAATTTGTTTTCGGCTTTCCATGTTTCTGGTGTGTAAAAAGCTTAAATGGCTGTGTCTCTTCGGGGACCCTCCAACATGGCTTCGGTTTTCCTTTTGGTTCCCTCGAAAACAAACAAACCAGGTGTACCCTCACTCAGACGACAGCCCAAGGACATGCGCCGCATCGCCAGCTTGCTGCGTCCCGGCCTTGGATTTCTTATTGACATGTTCCGGACGTCGGGGTGGGAAAAATAGAGGGGATGTGTCTCCATGGAAGTTTGCTGCTATGCTGTCATTTTTTTTTGCGCAATGCTATTTTGGTTCAGCATTGGCTTGTGGGAGGGATCTCAAGGCTGCTCGCACGAGTCTGGAAGACGGTGGCGTCGCCCACTTTGGGCACTGCTCACTGTGTCGTCAGACCGCTGAGAGCTACCTTTCTACAAGATCGTATGATGTATGAGTGATGAATCATGGCTCCCAGAGCTTCAATGTGCATGGCATCCGTTTTGGTATTAGGTGACTTAGCAGCTGGTGGATGCTTCACTTTGCCTGTAGCATTTCGGGTGTCTTGAATGTTCAGAATCCTCCCGGCCCCAACCCCCAATTCATGGCAGGGCAGCCAAAAGCATGTCCAATTCTCCGCCATGTGCGCCTTTGTGAAGAAAAAGAACGCTTGTAGCCGGCGATGTTCCGGTTTTGATGATGGCTTCCGAGGTGAGCCTACTCAAGCTTTGCAAGGGACTGGGGAGAGACTTGCCTGCAGCGAGCCAAAACGTCAGGACGGTCGCACGCTGGGAATTGAAGTTTTCTTGGGAGCGTGGCCACGGGGGCCCCCCCAAGCCAGAAGGAGATCGACGTGTCTGCAGGGAAGCTTGTGAAAAAGGTGTCCCCCAAATAGGAACCATTCAGACGGCAAATATCAACGGCTTCCTCAAATTAAGCGGGGGAGCTGGAATTGAAGCAGTGGTGCAAATGTGGGTCAACTAGAACTCCTTGAGCAATATGAGGGTCGGTCAAAAGACAGTCCCAGCCAGAAGCAATTAGGTGCAGCCGCCTCCCGATCATGTACATGGTTTTGTGTAGGCTCCTTGAAGAGCATTGTATGAATTATATTTGTGCCTTTGAGATCGCTTCAGTGGGAACAGTTGAGGACATGATCATGTCTAAGGACACGGACAGCCACCCTACTCCCCCCCACCGAGACCACCTGTCATGCCTAGCCCAGCTGGACCTTCCCATTCGTCCTATGATCTGACAAACGGGCGCGACGTCTTTCTCGACCAAGGAGCATGAACAACTCTCTCTGCTCCAGCCCGAACAGTGCTGGGTGCCCAGAGGGAAGGCTCCTTCCATGCAAGCGTACAGTTTTGGCGAGAAGCGATGCCGGATTCAGAACACAAACCATTCCTTTCGTGCATTTTGCTTGGATGTTAGGACTTCAACTTTTTGCCAACTAATGGGTTTTCCATTAAACCACTAAAACTTAAGCTTTTAGCAGGGGAGCAGAAAGCAACCAAGATTCCGTGCTTGTATTTTGGGCTTGCAGTCACAAAGCTTTCTGCAAGATCCGCGGCAAGAGAGGGTGATTGCTTGTGAGCCAGTTGGTCAAAAGGTGACGGAAGTTTCTTTCTGTCAAGGCATGGTCAAACAGATAATGCTCTGCTCGACCACCAATGAAGGCACTTGGCTGCCTTCCACCTTGCACACATGAGGAAGTATCGCTCAAGGTCCACTCATGGCACTGGCTCAAACACATATACCCAAAATGGCACCTTGCTAAATGGAACCAAAGACTAACACCTGCGCAACCCTAGCTCTTTAATTTTGACTAGGTCCCCAAATAGACTACAGAAAAAAAGGGTACCCTTATTCTAACCTCTCCACTGGAGGGCCTGGTTGAGTAAAACACATGTACCTTCTTGTGCGCTTGGTTCGCCGATTCACATCCCGTGCCTGGAGAGCTGTTCTCAACACAGTTTTCCGGGAGGTGAAGCGCTGCTCTTCATGCTTCGTGGCATCTTCTGGGTCAGAAAAAACACACATCTCTTTAACAGCGCCTTTTTGGTTGGTGAATTGATTGTCCGGGCTTTAAACAACATCTCCGAATCCGCCCATTTCTGCGCAAGGACAGGGTTTTGTCTCAAGTGGCTGGTTTCCTTTTGGCTTCCTTGAAGAAAGCAACCCTTTAAGGGGGTTTCCCTAAATCGACGAGCCACCCATATGAATTCCTTCCTTGAGCATATCTCCCCGCGCCTCTTCCCAAGCTAGGCCTGGGAGCCGGGAGACCGGGGTGCCGCCCCCACGCAAGCGCGAGTGTGGATCCCCAGGTTTCGTTCCCCGACCGAGCCGAACCGCAACTTGTTTATGGCTCGAAATAAAACGAGGGCATGGTGAAGGTTCTGTTGATCCAATTCTTATTTCAGGTCTTTGGTTCTGTGGTCTTGAACTTGTGGGACAATTGCAGATGTACGCCCCGCAATCGCCTCGGCGAAGGCTGGACTTGCTGTAAGTTGAGGTTTCGGCTGCCACTGACCCGTGTTCGCGGTGAAAATGACGTTTGCGATTAGGTTCTGGTCGTTTTGCAGGTTCGTCTCGAAGCTGCCGCCCTTTGAGTTTGCTTTGGAAGGATGACAAAACAAGTCACGAACCAAACCAGTCCCTCGTCCTGACACCGACTGAAACAGATTGAAAAAGGGGATCAGCAGAAACCAACCATTGACATTTGCGGGAGCATTCCTGTTTTGTACCTCCCCAATGAGCAAATCATCGAGGAGTCGAATGATTCAAGGTTGCTGGGACGTTAGCGAGCCCCGCTCTGCCCAGGCTGCGAGCTTGTCACGCATGGTGCCGCGTCACGTTTTGCAAAGCTTGGCGGCTTGGTCATTGGGCGATTCGTTGAACATGGTCTTTCGGGTGCGCCTTTGGCCTTTGTACGGTTTCGGAATTGCAAGGCGATTTTGTTTCTGGCTTTTCCACGCTTTGTTTTCAGACATGGCCATGCATTTTGATGGGGAAATCCGTGAAAAGTGATTGGTGGACATAAATCCCCACCTAAATGATGTCCACCAAGGGGTCCCTGCCCAAAACTCCTCCCCAAACTCCACGAGTTGGTTCCCCCTAGGCCTCCGGAGGCTTCCAACTGCCCTTGGCCAGGTGATGCAGAACCAGTTCACCGCGCTGGCGGAGAGGATCAATTCAGGGGCCCGGGGCGTGCATTCAAACCGACCCCGGGGTTACGCAGATAGCCGCAGATATGCTTAAAGGGTCGATCGGGTGCTGGTACTTAGTAAGTGGGCAATGGATATGACACACTGAACGGAGACTTCAAACCGTGGTAGGTGGGTTATAGCCATCGTTCTTGCCCACTTGCTAAGGGCAATGTGGCTGTAAGTAGGCTTCAAGGGGTCTTGTGCGGCTCATCATGAAACAAAACAACCCAAAAGAAATCTCAGGCGCATACAGGGTGTGATGTACCGACAAGCTGGTCTTCTGTTCCAGCTGACAGGGTCTGATGACAAGCTGCACTAACATCGACATTGACAATAGCCCAGTATTTTTCTGAGAGTCAGCGAGCAGAAGAGTTGCTGGTTTCTCTTGCGACAGAATCTCACGCCTCGGAAGTCTCTTGGGTTTTCCTGCCCTTCAGCTGATCCAACAGTTGGATTCTCGGAGTCTCAAGCGCTTGAGGCCATCCCCGGGGCCAATCCACCCATTGGGTTCCTTTTTGTGAGAAGGTCACGGCGCTGCAGCGGCAGTGCGAGGCAGACAGGCGGGATTGGAGGGACGGGGGAGCATTTGGGCCGCGTAATCAGCTGGTGACGCAAGTTCCTGGCTTGGAAGTTGCCTCATGACCATGTGGCTTCTTGCAAAGCATTTTTTCCGATGGATGAAGGTTTCGCAAATTGAGTGGGTCTCGCTCAACACAAAGGCTCATCTTTTTCGGCAGCCGAATGCCAATGATTCTTGTGGCCAGTATACTTCAATGTCAGTACAGACAGAGACGGCATCTCCTGGTGGTCCTCGGAGTGAATAAGCCAACAATACTTGTCAATGGTGACATCGGGCTACAAAGGGAAGAGTCCAACTGTGCATTTGGGAAACCAGGACAGGCTTGTGAAATTCCTGAGGCCCTAGTCGTTACTTTGCCACAACTTTAGATCAGTGGCTTAGCAGTTCTTCCGATCCACCATAGCTTCCGGCTCCAGTGGCTGGCACTCGTCCAGATGGCCGGTGGGCCGCTCTCGCTGAAAGGCGGATCACAGGGGAACGTGGTGGCCGGGGATGTGCCCTTCATCAAGTCATGAAGTGAATGAATGACTGATAGTATATCATTGTTGCCAAAATGAGGGCTATGTATATATATATATATATATGTATAGTGAAATTCCGCACTACCGCAGCCTGGGCTTGAGCATGATCAAATAGTGCTTTCTTTCAGTTTGGTAGCGGAGCTAGCCCCGCCGTTTAGGCTACCTTGGCCATCACGGCCGGTCGCGCCATTTCGCGACCTTGGCGGCTTCGCCGCTGGTGCATGAGCATGGTGGAGGCGGAGTTCGCCTACATCCAGAATCGGCACCTTGCTCTTAAGGCGCTCTTTGGTGCCTTCGTATCACCGCGTAAGAGCACGTGGAGGTAGACGCGGCGGAGCCCGGGGACCGAACCCAGTTCACCCACTATCTACCGGAGGTGGAAACACGCTGACCCACATCGCCCTTGTCTCTACGACCTCTTCGCGGCAACCATGGCCACGCCCTCTGGCACCGGAGGGATACCAACGGGACCGTCCGCCTGGCTGGGAGCCGGGAGATCGACTACCTACTTTTAGCGGCTCCAACTGTGGCATCGCCAGACGGAGTGCCCGACCAGTGCGTGGGCCCCGTCGTAGCCGGCAGGCTCTGGCCGCCACCGCCAGGTGCAGCAGCAGATCGACAACAAGATGCACGATCTAAGGAGGTGCTGCGACGAGGCCGCAACATGACGTCGACACGTGGACCAGCTGCGCACACACTTCAGCTTTCGACCGTGGTGGTGGTGTCAGTTGAGGATCTGGTTCCTCCTCCAGTTGCTTGTTCCTGTTCTGGTTGAGGTGGAGCATTCACATGGCATTTCTGTGCAAACTGGACAGCTTCTTCGCTGTCAAGACCTTGCTGTTGGGGTTCTCCAAGAAGGTCAGCCGGTTCATGTTCTTCGGCCACAGATCAGTGTTCTCAGCTTCCTCAGCCCACATTGTCCGCCCATGAAGAGCTTGTGGCTGGTCATCTTGGCGGGTGAAGAAGGCCCTGAAAGTGGCGTAGGCGCTGAAAAGGAATGAGATAGGGTTACCCCTGGCATTGATCTCGGAGATGCTTTGCTTCAGCTCTCCGTGGTACTTGTTGATGGTGAGCGTCCAGCCCGTGATTCCATGAAGCTCTGGATGGCTGCGGTCAGCGCTGCCTGTTGTAGAGCTTGCTGGTAGACAGAGATGGCTGTGGCGCCGTGGACTGACCGCAGTCCCACAGAGTCCACGTCGTAGAAGAGAAAGGAGAAAGGGCAGCGCCCCTCACGCCACCAAGGTTGAGAATGAGGTAGGCGAGAGAAGGAGCGCTGCTTGAAGCAGGAGTTCGTGGTGATGTCGATTGCCGGGAAAGCCGAGAGCTTCCTGAACAGATCTCCCAGAAGTGGTTCTTCTTGCGTGAGCCAGTTCGCGCCCACTAGTTGTTGGGCTTGCTGACTCGTTGCCCTGTGCGCTGGCAGAACTCCTCTGGCATCAGCTTGCGTCGCCTTCGCAATTGCTGCTGTTTCTGAGCTGGTAGGTCATGAGGTATCTCGTCCCCGGGCAGGTCATAGGCAAGTTGAAGTAGCGCTCATTGGGATGTGCGTGTTGGTTGTCCTCGAGATTCTTGTATTGTTGATGAGGGTCACGGAATGAGGAGACAAGCGGACAGGTACGGAGACGCGGACGGTCACCTTTGGGCCAGAGGCAAAGCAGCCTACGTCCTACATGGATTTGGGCGACCCAGCGCAAGAAGCATTCCTGACGCTGGGTGTGATTGGTGGAATGGGCCAGACAGACGGTCTGGCGATGGATGCGACCAATGACGAGAACCACTGCCAGCACGCAGACCGCCAACATCAAGACGCTCGTCAATGAGCGTGAGGCCGCCGACGCACGCGAAGGCCTTACAGCAAAAAACGGTCTGCCGCTGCTTCGGGTGGGTGGGTGAGTGGGTGGGATAAAATGGCGCTATCTTTCAGCTATATAGATATATACATACAATATGCTTATATATATATATATACATATATATGCATATCTGCATGGATTGGCCCATTGTTTGTGCCGCAGTGCTCGCACAGTGTGACATGACCAGAGGGGCAGCCTGCTCCCTTGTCCAAGAAGATTGGGGTTGTGGGCAGTTTCTTCACGCCAAGACACACGGCCTGACCTTCAGACCCTCTAACCGCTGAGCTCCAGGCGACGAGCCCTTGCCCGAGGACACCTTCGAAGTGCAGGTGGGGCGCTCCTGCCGTCGGTGTGGGTCTCTGCAGCAGTGGCTGCAGGGCCTCGGGGATCCGCGGCCACCGCTGCAGCTTCGAGAAGAAGCGAGTGGCAACACAAAGAAGCAAACCAACAAGAAAGTTCGGTCGAAAACAGAAAAATAGGATGAAATCAGACTCCTGCGCACACACAGAGTCCAAACACAGCTTGAGTCAACTTTGCTTCCCCTGGTTCTTGGGCCCGCAGTGCAAGTTGATTCGTTGACTTGGCCGTGCTCACGAGCGGGGGGCTGTCGTCTGATGAAAGTGAGCGGAGGAAGTTGATTCGTTATTGAAATTGAATTCAACTTCTGCCCGATTGTTTGTTAAATCTGCGGCCAGTTTGTCTTTTGAAATTGGCGATTGTTCGGTTCAGGGCTCTGTTTGGCTGATACTTTGAGGAGCCCGTTGTTTGAAGATGGGCATGTTTCCATAAACAAATCCTCAATGCACCAGTTGGTGGCGCAAATTCATTGTCGAGCCAGTGGCCCCCGAAAGGTAGAAAACAAATTAGATCCATCTCGTTTCGGGGTCGTCGTTTGGGTCTTCTTGTTTTGGATTTGGTACTCCCTTGTTTATGGCAAAGGAGAGATCAGTTTTTTTTGGTACAATAATCCCAGGGCCCCGACTTCCCTGCCCTCCAGTGGGCTGCCTGTGTCCCACCCAGGCACCGGAGCGACACCCTGCCGCTGGGCTACGGCTTCCGCTTCCTCCGGGGCCGCATCCGCCTGGTGGCCGAGGCCAGCGGCTGTGTGGTGGACCTGCGGCGCCCCGTGCCCGGAAGTCAGGCGGGGGAGGTTTCAGCACGAAAGTCACCAAATGCCAGGGTCTCCTCTGGGATGTGCCAGAAATCCCGGGGGGGGGGGGGGAGGGTCCTGGGTGGGGGGGTTGATAATTAAATAGGATGAGACAAGGCGACTGTCGAGCATAAGAGCAGGAGATAAAGACAACTCGATAGAGAACCGCGCTGGATGTTTGTCTTACAGCAGCACCGGTGGCATGCCTGGAGAGATAGTGGTGAAAGCTTGACAAAGCTGACGCATGTCAACCCAACTCTTAGCTTGCAATGAGTTGTCACAGTCTTGCAGGATAGTTTTGAAGAGCGTTCACGAGAGCACGGTCGCAGTGCTGCACGGGTTGGTGGCTTTCGTTTGAGGATCACGCCCCGCGTATGTGTACGCAAACTACTCCACAACTGGTTTGACAGTTCGGGAAACGAGCCCGGATTTGGAGCAGATGATCTCTTGATCGGTGGCGACCCACTACTGGTGAAGAAGAAGCACCTTTTCTTGTGCCTGCCTTCTTTGAGGGGGCAAGCTCTGCGAATTCCTCGGAGTCTTTTGCCAACAAGAGCAGGACAAACTCGAGCTCGCCGACTTGAAATGGCCCTCCCGCAGATTCCCCACATGTGCCCGATTCAGACCACTCCCCCAGAGAAAGTGAAGCAAGGAAGGATGCAGATGGGCCTCTCCCCCACGGCGTGTGCCTTTGCACTCGCAGGTGAGCTTCCGGTATGGACCCTGGGCCATTCTGCAGCATCCGGAGCTTGGGGAAAGCTCTGAGCTCGAGCCCCACCAGTGGGCCATCCAAGATGCGCAGGACCCAAAGGGCGCGGTTCCACGGAATGCCACAGGGCCACGAGTGAGCTGGGTTCTTTGGGGTTCCTTGGGTTCGTTTGGGTTCCTTCGGGTTGCTTTGGGGTTCTTGGGGGTTCCAGCAGGTTCCTTAAAAAAGACACCTACTTTTGGATCCACTCAGCCAGCAACTCTGGCTTTGCGACCTGATTTTGCCGCGCATGGATGTTGCGTGGCTTTCCTAGGTCCTGTTGGCCTTCCCTCGTTAAAGGGCTACAGTGCAGTTGTGGTGAGAGTGGGTTGGTTGCGAATGTTGGAGCGAATTGTGAAGAGGCCTGTGTTAGTGCGCACAACTCCCACCGATGTGCTTCTTCCAAATGACTTCCAGGAGGCCTGCGTGCCGTGCTTCGGGGAAGACGACTTTGTGTTGGCCCGGGCGCTGGACCCGACCGCCTCTCCGGCGCCGCGGCGTTCGCGGTGCTCACGAAGGCGAGGCAGGCGATGTGGCGAAGCGCGGCCATGGTCGGTGTGATGAGACGGTCTTGCTGGTTCTCTCTTGGAATGAGGGAATGACCCGCATAACCAATCCCCAAAGGATTTCCTTTAAGGGAATCCTAGGCTCATTCCCAGCACCCTGAGCTCGCGAACCCTCTTTTGCAATGCCGAACCCTCCGAGGAA